TATTATTCTTATAAGAAATTCCTCTAATCCAGATTTCAAGCCAAAGAAATTTGCCGGGGATAAACAAATTGTTCTTCACAACAGAAATTCGCCATATCCGAGATAGCTTTAAGCGGTCTGTATTGTATACCAGTTGGAACATACCGATGTAACATGGTTAACTTGGCAAGCTAAAAAACTTCATCACACCGTTCTGTTGTGTGCATGTGGAATGTAAGGGAAGGCCAACACAATCATCTTCAAAGAATGTACATAACAGCAATCACAGGTAGATTTATGATGGAATGATATATTGATATGGATCAAAGTGGTAAGCACTGGAACGTTTTAAAACCGGATCACCACTAGTTGTGTCAGCGAGTGCCGGCCATCATAGTCACATTAGCTAGGGCAACCTGCACAGTACGGCTACTGTCCGTAAGGACATACATTGTGAATATATATATATAGGAGTCTGCAGCCTAGGTATTGCGAACGCGCTTCGTAATGACAGGGTGCTGGGTTTGATCCCAGCTGCAGGTGATCTGGCAGCAGACCACCTTGCCTTGGTATCCAGACCTGAAGTATTCAGTAGGCAAAAAGTAAATTACTGGACATAAAATATGCCTAGAAAAAAATCACAACAGCCCCCCAACAAAAGAGTTGGTTCTGCAACGTCCTGTAAAGGACACGCAACTACACGCGCGCGCGCACACACACACACGCACACACACATGTATAATTAGGAGTGCTTCCATCAAAATTGGAGTGCCTCTACCAGAGAGGGGAGGAACCAACAGCCTGCATACAACTAAGCCAAATCTGTGAAACGCAAGTGCGCGCAAAACTTGAGCTCTGTGACAAGACCGGTCCGGCAGTGGACGAAAAACCACAAAGTTCTGACGGATTTTTACCGTCGGTGAACAAGAAGCGGGAACAGTTTCACGAACCCATACTGATCCAAAACGATTACTAAACTCAGTCTCCTTCAAAACGTAATTGTTTTAACTCAATCTGGCCACAGATTTATTACATAAATTACAAACTTCCTACAGGAAACTGGGCTAAATTACATCTGCCTGACACTAAAAGGTTGGTTTGGGTTTTCCAAAGGATCAACAACATGGCAGGAGATTGTAAGCCCATAAGTGCCCCGTTCCACTTCTAACTCAAGCCTGAGTGGAGAATCGCAGCACAGTGCATTTATTTCTACGTGGAAAACATGACTACATTTCGAACGATTCTATTAAATAGAGCATCTAAGATTGTCTTGGAAAGCATGACTACATTTCCGCGAACGATAGAATCTGAAAAACATGACTACATTTCCGCGAACGATTCCATTAAACAGAGTATCTAAGATTTTCTTGGAAAACATGACTACATTTACGCGAACGATTCCATTAAATAGAATGTCTAAGATTGTCTTTGAAAACATGACTACATTTACCGAACGATTCCATTAAATAGAATGTCTAAGATTGTCTTTGAAAACATGACTACATTTCCGCGAACGATTCCATTAAATAGAGTATCTAAGATTCTCTTGGAAAATATGACTACGTTTACCCGAATGATTCCATTAAATAGAGTATCTAGGATTGTCTTGGAAAACATGACTACATTTACGCGAACGATTCCATAAATTTAGAGAATCTAAGATTGTCTTGGAAAACATGACTACATTTCCATAAACGATTCCATTAAATAGAGTATCTAGGATTGTCTTGGAAAACATGACTACATTTCCGCGAACGATTCCATTAAATAGAGTATCTAAGATTGTCTTGGAAAACATGACTACATTTCCGCGAACGATTCCATTAAATAGAATGTCTAAGATTGTATTGTCTTTGAAGACATGACTACATTTCCGCGAACGATTCCATTAAACAGAGTATCTAAGATTGTCTTGGAAAACATGACTACATTTACGCGAACGATTCCATTAAATAGAGTATCTAGGATTGTCTTGGAAAACATGACTACATTTACGCGAACGATTCCATTAAATAGAGTATCTAGGATTGTCTTGGAAAACATGACTACATTTCCGCGAACGATTCCATTAAACAGAGTATCTAGGATTGTCTTGGAAAACATGACTACATTTCCGCGAACGATTCCATTAAACAGAGTATCTAAGATTGTCTTGGAAAACATGACTACATTTACGCGAACGATTCCATTAAATAGAATGTCTAAGATTGTCTTTGAAAACATGACTACATTTACGCGAACGATTCCATTAAATAGAATGTCTAAGATTGTCTTTGAAAACATGACTACATTTACGTGAACGATTCCATTAAATAGAATGTCTAAGATTGTCTTTGAAAACATGACTACATTTACGTGAACGATATATTAAATAGAGTATCTAAGATAGTCTTGCACCGCGTGATCTTTGACTCACTGGTCAGTAGTTATCACACTGCTATGACATGATTATATTCAGCATTTAATTACGCGCCGTGAGGCACAACAAGTTTTCAAATAAACCCTCCTTATATTGACGTGATGTTTAACCTATGTTGTCTCCATAATTACAAAACTATAGTCCAGAGGTGGATGAATTGCTAGAAGTATTCGCTGACGTTTACAGCCGGTACACGAGAAGAAGAAGAAGAAGAAGAAGAAGAGAAGAAGAAGAAGAAGAAGAAGAAGAAGAAGAAGAAGAAGAAGAAGAAGAAAAAGGAAAATAAGCAGAAGAAGAAGAAGTAGAAGCTAGCATACTGGTATTGTTTGTGTCTGCAGCCATATAAGACATACTTTCAAATTTGGAGTGCGTGTGTGATTCTCTTCTCTTCGATAGATACTAGAGCAAACTCTGATATACCATTAGTTTTGACTTAGTTAAGGCTTTTGTGGGAACATTGATTCCTGTGATCGATCAATTACAATCGATACACGTGTGCTGTCTCCATCGGCAGGTTAATTAATTATCTAATAAGTGATGATAAAGCTCACGGAATTCAGGCAAAGATACTTTTTGGCTGTTGTGATTTCGCCAGAAAATTAAACAATATTTTTATTTTAAAAGGTCGGCGGTTTGGTCTGCAAAGTAAAGCATGCGCCACTAACTTTTAATTTGCCACTGGATACGATTGTTGAAGCCAGCTCAGGGCGGTCTGCTGCCAAACTGTGCACAGTTGGAATCGAACGCAGCGTTGCCGAATTATGAAAGTCAAGTAAATGACCCTTTTCCTCGCCTTCGTGTTTATTGGGCATTTACGGCTAGACCTATATTTTTTTAGGCCATTCGACACTCTATGGGGGGATGTGGCCAACATCACGCCAACCGCCTTTACTTCCCAGGACTGCACCTGTTACCCTATTAAGGCTGGGTTCAACTGGAAGCCAAGGTCATTTTTTACGGGGGGGGGGAAGTCCGGCAACCCACGACCTTCCGATCCACAAGCGAGTATCTAGTTGCTACACCACTGAGGCTTTCCCCACGGAATTATAAAGCCTTTACAAAGCCCACGCTATTGACCCCGGCCATTCAAACTAATTTCGCTCAAAATATTAGTAAACGGGAACCGTCACGGGTCAGTGGCCCCAAGCCTCCCCCCCCCCCCCCCCCCCCCCCCCCCCCCCCACAGACAAATCATTAATGCAAAAGAAATGGCAGGCGGTATGCGAGCCACTCGCTAGGCCTCTGCGGGCCGGTCACATTTGGCCCGCGAGTTAGCACTGAATAGCCATAACACAGACGCTGCAGTATAAGGGTACCTAGATTCATCAATGCAACAATGTCCCATTCACTAAGCTCGATGGAAACGATGTGTATGCTTATGGCAGTTAGTGACGACTCTGTACAGATCCAACCGCCAGTAACAGCAACTGCTTTGCCATGGCAGTTGCTCAATGCGTCAAAGCAAGATATCACAGCAAAGTCATGATGGCTAGTTTGGCAAAAATATGATGATGATGAAAAAAAAAATAGGGCAGGATGTTGCGGCGACAAGCCTTTATCAGCAAACAAAAATAACAAATACATAATAATAACAGGAACGATAAATAGAAAGGTCACTAAATTAACTACATTAAAGTATAATATTATTCAAATATGTGCAGATAGTTAAGACGGTGAATGTTGCAAAAAGAAAATGTGTATGAGAGTGAGAGAAAGAGAGAGAGAGAGAGAGAGAGAGAGAGAGAGAGAGAGAGAGAGAGAGAGAGAGAGAGAGAGAGTCAGAGCCAGATAGAGAGAAAAAAAGAGCAAGAGAGAGACACAGAGAGAGGCAAATATATAGACAGAGACACACACAGACAGCCAGAGAGAGAGAGTGGCAGATACAGAGAAAAAAAAACAGAGACAGACACAGACAGAGAGAGAGAGAGAGAGAGAGAGAGAGAGAGAGAGAGAGAGAGAGAGAGAGAGAGTGTGTAAGAGAGAGAGAGAGAGAGAGAGAGAGAGAGAATTTTAATCTTCTACGTTTTATCCTATTGTCTGCATCATTCGGCATAGATCTTGTATTCGACATACATTTGTATACCTGTATGTATATTCAGCTTTCACATTTCATCTTTGTGAATAGATCATTCAATTTCTACCGAATACGCATTTTTATACCGTTATCATTTAGCTTTCACGTTTTAATATTTTACCTACAACATTCATCTTGTGCATTTGACTACTTTAATGCAATTTTCTTTTTTTTAAAATCCCTCATTCTTCTTGTCCTAACGTCCAACAATGTTTATGCCTGTATATAGTGCAGACCTGATAAGGAGAATTCACCAGGAGCCCACGAAATGGTTCTCCTTATCAGAAATTCCTCCTATTTAGACAATAGTTTAAGGAAGAAAAAATGCCGAGGAAAAACTAACTTCTCTTTACAACAGAAATTCGCTACATCGGAGATCGCTTTAAGCGGTTTGCACTGTATTAGGCTGTAACAGACAGGTAACTAATTTAATGCAATTTCCATTTTGTCTTTCAATTTCCTGACGCCTTCTCGCCGCAACGCCCAGCAATGTTTTTAGTATGACCATAACAATTGTGAAACCGATCGCTACGGACCAGGCTGGGGGCTACTGTCCAACAAATCCTTGCAGTAACAATAGGGTCTGAGAAACGCGTCTTTCTTCTCCACACAGTGTGGGGCCTTGCCGTAGACGTTGGTTCTGCTGATTTCCTTGGGGTCTATGGATAACTGCGACTTCCTGATGTCTAGTGAGACGGTCACTTCGAACCGGCCAGCTCCAGGTTGGGTCACCAGAGTCACCTGTGGACAGAAAGAGGGAGTTGATGGGGGGAAAGATGGAGGAGAGGATATATTATGTTTATGGTGTGTAGTTTTTGAACATGTATAATTCCTCTGGTCGGCTCTGTGGCTAAGTCGATGCGAACTCTTCGTAATGCCGGGGAGTTGGGTTAGATCCCAACTGGGGGCCATGCGCCTTGCATTGGTTTTGACAGAGGTATCAGTGGGCCGACCGTCCAGAGGCAATGGCAAACTACTTTGCTTAGAGAAACCACACAATAGCCAGGGGCTGCTGAGGTTGGTTATGCAACGTCCTGTAAAGGATACGCAACTAACCAGAATAAGTCCTCTATATCAGCGGTTCTCAACCTGTGGGACGTGATATTTGTAGGGGTCGAACGACCCTTTCACAGGGGTCGCCTAAGACCTTCGGAAAACACATATTCACTGAAATTATGAAGTAGCAACAACAATATTTTTATGGTTGGGAACCACCACAACGTGAGGAACTGTATTAAAGGGTGACGGCATTAGGAAGGTTGAGAACCTCTGCTTTATATTGTTTGCCAAATCTTTACTGTCATGACACCGGTCGCCATTATTAGCACAAATCGATCCATTAGTTTGTCCCGTCCGGTCTGCCACCTACAGATTTACCACACCAACGTAGGATTTGAAGACAGCAATCTCAGACGGGACGGCAGAACAACAAGGCAGATCATAGAGATACCCCGTTCAACTTTAAAAGAAGTTATAAATAGGGCGCCTATCATGGCTTCCTTAGCCAGATGCAACCTGCAGTCCTATGGAGGGTGGTTAGGTTCTTTATTAATATCCTACTCCCAGATGACGTCACAGAACAGTCCAACATTTTAGAGGGTGATAAGACTGGGTTTCCCTGCTTTATGATGCTTTTAACGACCCCAAAACATCTACAACTGGCCCTGGCCCCAAACCCCCTGCGACCCACAAGAGAGTGCAGCCTAGGTCCCACGACTGCATGCAGCCTTGGTCCCACGACTGCATGCAGCCTAGGTCCTACGACTGCATGCAGCCTATCTACCACCCCCTGGAATATTAGACTGTGACCTGTGAATTTCTCCTATTTGGGGTAGGATATTAATAAAGCCCCTCTCGTTATTATCATCATAATTATCGCCACAATAACTGACATCATCATTAATATCACAGCCATCATCAACATTATCACCACCATCATCATCAACATTATCACCACCATCATCATCAACATTATCACCACCATCATTATCTTCATCTCCAGTAACATCACCATAATTATCACATCATCATCACCATGATTATCACCACCAACAATATAATCCTCATCATCACCATCAGGATTGTTTTATCACATACACGGGAAGGCTGATCGGGTAACAAATGCCTGCAGAAGTCGGATGTGTCGGCCGAAAGGCTCAAATAAAGCAGCCATGTTGAAAAACGAACACAATGCATTGACGTCTTTCGATGAACGTAGAAGAATCAGGCATAACCAGCATGACTGCCACCGTCACGATTAATGACTGATTATTACGATTTCATGGCACTGGTGTCTTGAAAACAAGAAAATGGTAACCACATGATGAAAACACTACAGTGGTGACACAAGGTAAAAACATGACAATTGTGACAACATAGTGAAGTCATGACAGTGGTGACCGCATGGTGAAATCATTGACTAGTGACCGCATAGTGAAAACATTACAGAGGTGACCACATGGTGAAAGCATGACACTGGTGACTGCATGGTGAAAACATGACAGGTGACTACATGGTGAAAACATGACACTGGTGACCACATTGTGAAAACATGACAGAGGTGACCACATGGTGAAAACATGTCAGAGGTGACCACATGGTGAAAGCATGACTCTGGTGACCACATGGTGAAAACATGTCACTGGTGACCGCATGGTGAAAACATGACACTGGTGACCGCATGGTGAAAACATGACAGAGGTGACCACATGTTGAAAGCAAACACTGGTGACAACACAGTGAAAACATGACAAAGGTGACCACGTGGTGAAAAACATGACAGTGGTGACTACATGGTGAAAACATGACAGTGGAGACCATATTGTGAACACATGACTGTGGTGACCATATTTTGAAAACATGACAGTGGTGATCATATTGTGAAAACATGACAAACGAATAAGGGGAGTGAACTAATGACGGATCCAAGTACGGAAAGGGAAGGCCAATCTCATAAATAATTTGAGGCCAGCAACGACATTACAGCAGCTGAACCTAATATGATACAAATAACAAGATAACAAAGGTGGCATTTACCTGGTAGAGAACCCTGGACGCTTTAGTCGTGTCTGTCATCACCCCAAACCGGCCCCGACCGCCATCGTTGGTGTCCTTGAACTTCAGCACAGCATCCTTGGCCTTGAGTGAGGAGGCGGATATAACCTTGTCGAGTCGTAGCAGCGCGCACTCGTCCCGGTAGCCAGCCGTGAAGTTGTTGAAGGTCTCGACGATCTTAGAGACTACCTCCGTGACGGCTGGACTGTTGACATCCTCGCTCTTCCAGTCCAGGCATGAGCACCAATGGGGGTCAATCTGAGCACTGTGGAGGTAAGCGTGAATCATGAGAACACCGAGGTCAGATATAAGGCGTAATAAAGATGGCTTCTTATTTAGTTCGCCCTTAACATATCAGTCGGTTGTATCTACACCTTTTGACCCAACACATCCGATTTAAGCAAACATCTTTTCAGTTGCTCTTTACGACATGCTTGTGATGAGACAGTATGTCTATTCTGGGCCACTTTTTTTGCACACAGTATATTAAAAGTTGTTTTAATGTATTCTGTTACCCACTCCCCCGCCAATTCTGGGATCCATTGGGGGGGGGGGGGGGGGGGGGGCTACCGTCCAGAACAGTCGTGAGAAGCGACTAATTACAAAAGGAATTTACTGAAATCGAATGTAATGGGCAAAAATCTGTAGATGTCTTATCCTAGCTGTAAACCGCAGTATCTCGGATCTACCGCGCTTTTAAGCCTGAAAGCAAAATAAGAAGATTTTGTTACATGATCGCCCTGTTAGACATACGTACCTTTCGCAGTCCCTCTCTGCTGGGATCTCGTGAAACATGCTGACACCCCTCTTGCTTATATCAGCCATCCCGCCGTCCTTGTAGTGCAGTATCTCCATCAAGGTCTCGTGCACGTCGAAAGGGGTGGTCAGCCTCTGTGAGTTGGTTTTAATGTTTCGGATGATCTGCGGGTATTTCTCGTGGAACCATTCAGGGAATCTGTTGGGTAACATGAGATGAAAAGTTTATGCTAATGTTTTTTATAAATAGGAAGGTAATGAGGAGATAAACATAAGGTAAAATGAGTTAAACAGGAGGTTAAAAGGGATGCAAACAGTGGGTTAAAAATATGTGAACAAGAGGTAACAAAGTGAGGTAGACAGAAGTTAACAAAATGAGGTAAGCAGAAGGTACGCAAGGGATCAAAAGGTAAACAGTGTGTACAAAGGTAAACAGTGGGTATAAAGGTAAACAGTGGGTATAAAGGTAAATAGTGGGTATAAAGGTAAACAATGGGTATAAAGGTAAACAGTGGGTATAAAGGTAAACAGTGGTTACAAAGGTAAACAGTGGGTTCAAAGGTAAGCAGTGGGTGTAAAGGTAAACAGCGTATATAAAGGTAAACAGTGGGTATAAAAGTAAACAGTGGATATAAAGGTAAACAGCGTGTATAAAGGTAAACAGTGGGTACAAAGGTAAACAGTGGGTATAAAGGTAAACAGTGGGTACAAAGGTAAACAGTGTGAATAAAGGTAAACAGTGGGTACAAAGGTAAACAGTGGGTATAAAGGTAAACAGTGGGTATAAAGGTAAACAGTGGGTATAAAGGTAATTAGAAGGTAAAAATAGAGAAGTGAACATACGAGGCCACCCTGCAGAATCAATGTGGCATTCCTTTAGCGGCAGCACTGACACCGTCCAGGTGAGGGACTCTGCCTACTTTAGAAATAGTCATGCGGGGGGCTGCCTTAGCGCAGTCGATATGAGACTCGCTTTCAAAATCCCGCTGCGACTCGCTGCAGCCCACTGCCGGTGTTCGAAATCTGGACGGTTCCCAGGGTTCACCCAGCCTCTAGGTAATGGTTACAAGAGCTAACACTCTGTGGTAAATGAAGGAAGGTCGCTGTAGCAACGGAGTTTCGTGCGGATGGCGACACAGTCGGACAGTTTCTTATCAGCAGTCCGTACTGGTGGCAGAGCACTTATGGTTTATAACCGTTTGCAATGACGCTGGTTCACATCTCCCGACTTTACCTTTAACAGTGCTACGTGGCTAAATGGCTAAACAAGGTTTCAGGGATTTGCTCCCGTTTTATTCATATCCCTAAAATCCTATCCTACCTAATGCAATCCCAGAGGGGGGAAAGTGAAGGGAAAAATAAGTTTAAAAACAATCCCCGACAGAACTGGTAGTATCAACGGCTAGGAGTTCGTAAATGAAAGAGGACCCAGTCAAACAGACACACGGAAGGCAGAAATGAACAGACAGTGGAAGGTACCAAACCAACTTTCAGTAGACCATCATTATAATGGAGAGAGAGAGAGAGAGAGAGAGAGAGAGAGAGAGAGAGAGAGAGAGAGAGAGAGAGAGAGAGAGAGAGAGAGAGAGAGCGAGTACTGAGATCTATCTGTACAGTAGATTGGTTGATTTATAAAGACACCAGCTGACAGTGAAAATGTTCACAGGTAACGCTATAGCATACACAAATTAACAAGCAACTAGGAACTTGAACTGAGTCCCAGCAAATTATCTGATGGTGATATCCAAATAGTTCTCAGCAGAGGGGGAGGCAAAGCTAGTCGGGTACGTCGCGCCACGATGAGCTTCTTGGGATATAAACCATGTCGATGTTTTCCACTACCTACCACACCCACGCCATGTTGGCCTAAGTCCCCCAGCCTACAGCAGCCCTTTAATTGGTCAAAGTTAACGAGTAGCTGGTTCTTTCATAAATTCCAAGCCATTTTCAACGCTAGGTAGCGTATATTTTTAATTATTAAAACTACATACTGCGTTTCATGTCGTAATATTCTGTAACAGAATCGAAGGGAATAGAATAAAAAAAAAAGAATTGAACAGCATGAGGAAGAATTCAACAGTGTGAGGATGAATGTGGAAGAATTCAACTGCCTGAGGAAGAATTAAACAGCCTGAAGGAGAATTAAACAGCATACGGAAGAACTGAACAGCCTGAGGAAGAACTGAACAGCCTGAGGAAGAACTGAACAGCCTGAGGAAGAACTGAACAGCCTGAGGAAGAATTCAACAGCCTGAGGAAGAATTCATAGCATGAGGAAGATTTCAACAGCTTGAGGAAGAATTCAACAGCTTGAGGAAGAATTCAACAGCTTGAGGAAGAATGCAACAGCATGAGGAAGAATGCAACAGCATGAGGAAGGCCTGAACAGCCTGAGGAAGAACTCAACAGTCTTAGAAAACAAAATGTAACAATCGCCCGTCGTCCCCCCCCCCCCCCCATCTCTCTCTCTCTCTCTCTCTCTCTCTCTCTCTCTCTCTCTCTCTCTTTTCTCTCTCTTTTACACACATACACTTCTCTCTCACCTCCCTTCCCCTCTCCATTTCTTTCGTCTTTTCTGTCCCCGATTCCTGTTTCTCTCTCTCTCTCTCTCTTGCCTCTCACTCACTTTCTTTCGTAACCTTACCTACTCTCTCCCTCATTTCTCCCCTCACTCGGTGTCTTTCAAGCTCACACATTCAGCCACCCTCTTAACCTCACTCACGCTCTCTCCACCCACTCTACCTCACCTCCCCCCGCCACTCAGTATCGCTCCTCTCTTTCCCTCTGCCTCCCACTCCTCACCTAATGCCAAAGTAGGGCAGTCGTTCCTCCTGCTTGCCTTGTTCCGTGGCCCTGACCTTGCTGAACCTGCCGCCATGGTCAGCCAGCATGATAAAGACGGCGTTGTCCAGGTACTTCTCTCGGTGGATGGTCTGTAGGTACTCCAGTAGGTCATCGTCCATCTGTGGAGTGGACACAGACACAGTAGTATCTATTGCAGCTGCTGTAGTAGGAGCAGTAGCAGCAGCCGCCATAGGAGCTGGAACCTGGAGCTTATCTCCCTCGAGGCCCCCTCCCCCACCACCCCACATAATTATCATAAGATCTTTGCTTTAGCTGCTCATTTTAAATACCTTTCCGTGTGATTTGGGTTTTGGGGGCCCCACAACAAGCATGTCGAAAGAGTCGACTAAGTGAGGGCTTACTTTAAAGTCGGAATACACCTGCCTAAGAGAAACAAACAATCTGCTTACAAAAAAGTCAGATCTGTAAAACGGATGTGCGCGTAACACTTAGGTTTTGAAATAAGACTAAAGCCTAGAGGTGGACGAAAAAACATAACTTTCCACTGGAGTTTAGAGCCAGCCAACGCGAAGAAGAAGAAAAAGAAGAAGAAGATAGAGGAGGAGAAGAAAAAGATAATGAATGCGATAAACCTAACTGTGTCGGTTCCGGGGTCTCACTGAGGGGAAAAACACAAGAATACACGCTTTGCATCCCACAATAAGCAAAAAGTCGACTAACTGGAGGCTATTTTCGAGTTGCGAGTACATCTGCCTAAGAGGCATGGAACCATTCAGACTGGATAGAAATAAGTCAGGTCGGCAAAACGGATGTGCACGCAACACTCAGGTGCTGCGTGTTGACTCAGACTAAAGTCTAAAGGTGGACGATAACCAGCAGTCTCCGCCTGAGTTTACTACAGCAGCAGCAGCAGAAGGAGGAGGAGGAGGAGGAGGAGCAGCAGCAGCAGCAGCAGCAGCAGCAGCAGCAGCAGCAGCAGCAGCAGAAGAAGAAGAAGAAGAAGAAGAAGAAGAAGAAGAAGAAAAAGAAGAAAAAGAAGAAGAAGAAGAAGAAGAAGAAGAAGAAGAAGAAGAAGAAGAAGAAGAAGAAGAAGAAGAAAAAGAAGAAGAAGAAGAAGACGAAGAAGAAGAAGAAGAAAAAGAAGAAGAAGAAGAAGAATTGTAAACATCAAAACAGTGACCTCACTGCACTTCCTATGAAATAAACAGCGACAGAAGCCTGTCCTGATGATGCCGTCGTGTCTGCGGCTGTCCTAACTTAAAAATATATTAGGCCAGCGCTTGGTGTTATTGCACATGTTGTTATCGGGGAGGGCATAATGAATTTCCTGGCTAGAAATAACAAGGCATGATAAGGGTAAGACCGGCTATCTGATGTGAACTGGGAAGTTGTTCATATAGGCGACAGAACCGAGGAGCTCAATTCTCCTGAGGCCCCTCACCCCTTTACTTCAATAACTGTTTAAGCAGACTAAGATACCAACTTTAAAGAGAAAGCCAACCAGAGAGATGAATGGAGGTGGGTGATATCTGCAGCAATGAACCTCAAGGGCTCGGAATGCTGAAGAAGAAGAAGACTAAGATACCTCCTGTGTACCATGTAAATAAATGTTCTTCAAAACATTAAAAGATCTGATGTAAACCCAGAGGTCACCCTAGGAGAACATGGAATGATGACATTAAAGAGCATTTAGATCGATACGCAATGACAATAGTCACTGCTGCCCATCATGCAATGGATGACAAACTTTCCCACCCTCACGACGCGTAACGGTGGAAGAGGAAATTGATGATGATAATGATGTAATTCGTGTTAACGTTGTGCTACTGTACTTTCGGTTTTCGTTAAAAAAAAAGGCTTTTTAAGGATTTGCTGAAACGGATGAGTTGTTGAGCTGAAAGGCGCAGATACCGCAGCCTAGCTGTAAAACACCACACAATCAGCTAACCCCCCATTTAGCACTGAATTAAAAAAAAAGAGCCTGCGCCAACTTAAGCGTGTGACACAGCCATGCGTTTGTTGTCAAGTGAAAATGGTTGTTATAACATTGCACACACGGGAAATCTGAGCTGTTCACAATCAGCCTTTGCTTAGCAAACGTCTGGGTTGTTGATAAAGGGTCTGACTATAGACGCTTCCCTGCCAAAAGTGTGTAGAGACGGAGAGGTGCCAGGATAACACGGGAGGGGTAGGTATTCTGCTGCCGGGAAATTATATACCTTTAGACACGTCCTTGGTGCTATTGTGATTTGTGCAGTCGCTGATATGGCTTTCTTTACAACTGTCGTTAACGTTTTCTTTTTACCAAGTGACACTGTTATTTAAGAATCCAAACATAAGTATGAGCGCCAGGAAACAGATTATAAACAGCATATTCATACCAACCCTGTGCTACCAGTGCCAGACTTAGATATTGTCAAAAGCTAGCTTATGTAAAATTACCACATGTGAAATGAGATGCCTGAGAAAAACCGCAAATTTAATCATGAGAAATAAAGTTAGAAAATATATTATAGAACAGACTATAGGAACAACATCATGCAGCAAATTCAATTTAAAACAGAAGATCAAAGGGTTTGGTCATCTAATAAAAATGGCTATGCCCCATTTACACACAACAACTACAGCCTGGACGTAGACGATCTGCCTAGAGTAAAGGTGCCAGAACTTTACAGTGAAACACCTTGACCCCACCCCAAGCAGACTTTTAGGGCAACTAAGTGCCCCCTCCCCACCCCACCCCTTCCCCCTATATTTCTTATCATCACCATCATGTGGTATGTTCTCTGCAGGTCGTCGCATTTTCACGGTGCCTGAAAGAAACTCGGTCTCTCGCCAGCACTTCCGCCTCGTGCACTTTCGTATCCAAGGATACAGTTGGGTCCCGTGCCGATGTTCGTCTCCTGCCCCTCCTTCCTGGTACCAAAAAAACTGATAAAAATGTGTTTTTAAAATAGCAACATAATCCTTGACTTCTCCTTTCCCAGGCCAATGTTCCGTGAAGCATATAGTCTTTGCAATCGAATCATGTCTCACCAGGTGCCCCAACTAACTAGCTTGCAACGTTTCACCACTGCCAATAGTTGATTATGTTGTTGTTGTTGTTGTCTCTTACATATATGTTAGTTATATGGCGTAAATAGCTCGTTCCCAAATTTCGTCTACATCATTTATGTTTGAAAGCACGTAACCCCTATTCCATTTCAGCAGTGAGAGTCCAACTCTCCCATCCAATTAATAAAAAAAAAAAAGACAATGCCACTGATTTGTATATGTTGACCTTTACTGCGATGTTGACTTTGCTCTTTCACATGGTATTTAGCTGGGACATCTCTGCTGTTGCCTGATTAAGTCTTGTCCTGTTCTCTTTGACAACTGTCATCATGACATATGTAGGAGCCGAGGTATTTAAAAGTTTTAACTTCTAGTTTTCCCCCTCTCTTTCATCTGTTATGTTGGTAGGCATCTGACTGTCGTAGCAATTTACCAAAATCTTGATTTCCCCCCCCCCCCCAGCAATAATTAGCATATGTATACATATGCGTGTAGTGTGTAGGTGTGTGTGTATGTGTGTGTAGGTGTGTGTGTAGGTGTGTGTGTGTGAGTGTGTGTGTGTGTGCACGCGCTGGCGCGCCTGGGGAGGGGCGGGGACATAATTTTCCTTGCACCATGTACAAAGTGAGACTGTCTATATGTTAGTACGTTATAATTATTATTATTACAAGGCTTATCCCACTGAGGCCCCCTCCCTCTCCCGACCACCTAGAAAATTTACGAGTGCGACGAACTCTCCCAGTGATTTAGTGTATTTTGTCCCCGCCCCTTCCTGAAAGACAACTGACCTGTTACCTACACACTGAATCTTTCAGCAGCTACAGAGGCTGTTTATTTTTATCGATCGATAACACGTCAGAAAGGCAAGAAGTTGTAAATAAACAGATGTTGAAAGATAACGCAGAAGGTGAAAGATAAACGACACGGAACAGTTAGTATAGGACGTCGAACTATAACAAACTAAAGGTTTGCATATGCCATCGATGGGTTTGCCGGGAAAGATCAAGAGCTAGACGAGCTTGTAAATCTGCTCGATGAAACGTTAAACAAGTATGGCATGGAAATAAACGTAGACAAAAAACAAAAGTAATGACTAAATATCTAGCTGGCACCATAACTACGCCAATCTACATTGAAAATCACAAATTAGAACAACTTAATCATTTCAAATATTTAGGATCTATTTTAAGCGACCTGGTGTCAAGACCAGAAATCATGTCTAAGATTTCCGAGACAACATCAGTCCTTACCAAGCAGCGGACATTATAGAGATCCAAAAACATTTCATGCAAAACTAAGGTCCTTTTGCTCTGATGAATAGCTATTGTGGTTGTGAAACGTGGACCTTAACAGTTGAACTAGAAAGTAGGATACAAGCACTGGAAATGCGATGTTTCACAACACTTCTTGGCGTGTCATACAGAGACCACACTACGAAAGAAGAGGTTCGCCATATAATTATACAGCACATTGCCAACTATGAACCTCTTTTAACTACAGCGAAAAGGTGAAAAATGCAATGGTACAGATCTGGTATAATAATGGTATAAGATCTAACGGCCCCTCAAAAACAATACTGCAGGGCCCAGCAGAGGGAAAGAGGAGAAGAGGCAGACCAAGAAAGACCTGGTTACAGAACTTGACTGGCTGGACAGGCCTCAGGCATGCAACCATGAAGTCCATCCCAACTAACCGCCAAAGGTGAAGAGAGCTGAATCAGTCAATAGAAACTGGTGACCCAACGACACGCAGTGTTATAGGATGATGATGATGATGATGATGATGATGATGAATCTGGCCATACATTTCGACTCCGCTTTTGGGGCACCGCCACAAATAAATCTTTGGGTGTGTGGAGGATCAGCCTCTTTTATTGTTTGTAAGAAAACACAACGTAAAAAAAAAAAAAAAAAAACAGTTGTAATAAAAAAAAAGAGCATTAACTGGCTTCTTTTTGAATTGTTGAATGGTTGTCTTTATAGCGACGTCTGTAAAATTGCCAATTTACGTCGGGTTGATTATTTTCTTGGCGAAGGCAGAGAGGTAGCTGTTTCGGGACCCTATCTGGGCTAAGAAGAAGAAGTTCGATTGTTTTTTTTTTTTTTTTTATGAGGCTCTGCTTTATGGTCCACTCATTGATCTTTTAATCTTTATCCGGACCTTGAGAGTTGCATGCACAGTAGTTTTACAGATATGGCTTATTTCTATGCAGACTGTCGTTTCTTGCTCTCAAGCAGATACACTCGGAGTTAAATGCAAACATCCAGAATCAGTCATCTCATGCTTTTGGAGCAATGGGTCTATTCTGTGTTCTCCAAAATGAAGCTCCTAAACACATAGCGGAGGTAACTGACAGCTCTAGTTTCAGAAACAACCCACTTGCCCACCCAAGACAAACCAAAGAATAGGTCGTGTTTATATGTCCTAGTTTAAGACGTAGTGTATTCAGTTTGTTAGTATACGATAAGACAGACCCCCTTCACTTATCGGTACAAGGGTTGCCAACTCACAATTTAAAAAATCGGCCGAGGATTTGAAAAAGCCAAACCGGCAATCATGTTCACTACCACTTACATGTGACTAGATGAACACAGCCATGGAGCATCTCTGTCACAGAAAAAGAAAAAGGCAATTTGGACTTTCAGTAATAAATTAAATTATACAGTGATCAAAAGGGAGCGGGCTTAAACGTAGGAGATGTCATGGTTTGGCCGCTAGATGTTCACTTGCGGGCCTAAAAGTCGTAGTTCAGATACACATCAAGCCGGATTTATTTAAAACATGACCTTCGCTCCTATATATATAGATGCAAGACTCCGAGAAGAACAAGCAGGATTCAGACCGAATCGGTCATGCATCGACCATATATTCACACTCAGGACCATCGTAGAAGAGTCAGTAGAGTTTCAATCCCAACTCATCATCAACTTTGTTGATTTTCAGAAGGCCTTTGACAGCATACACCGCCCTACACTCTGGAAGCTACTCACAATCTATGGTTTCCAAGATAAATATGTCAATATTATAAAGGCCTTCTACACCGATTCCCGCTGCCTTGTTAGAACGGAATCTGGTAACTCTGATTGGTTCCCAGTAGAAACAGGCGTGAAACAAGGATGTGTCTTGTCACCGATGCTTTTCGGAATAGCACTCGATTGGGTCATGCGCAAATGCACACAGGACACATATCTAGGCATCAAATGGGTCGACAAAGTTCTCGAAGATCTTGACTTTGCTGACGACCTAGCACTCCTGAGCACAACACATCTAGAAGCTCAGGAAAAAATGGACCGCCTCCAGAATATTTCAAGCCAAATCGGCCTTCAGGTCAACGCAGCCAAAACGAAAATCATCGATCTTACCAACGAGTCAAAAGACATCAAACTAAAGGATATTGTTCTGAAAAAACCACCAGCTTCACATACTTTGGGAGCAAGATAACCTCTGCGGGAGATACAACATCAGAAATAACGACTCGAATCGCGTTAGCATCAAGTGCCTTTTACAAACTGTCAAACATTTGGAAGTCAAGATCACTCAGCAACAACACGAAACTTAAGGTCTTCAATTCCTGTGTGATCCCAGTGCTAACTTATGGTTGTGAGAGTTGGAAATCATCAGTATCAATCGATAAGAAACTAGTCGCTTTCGAGAATAGATGCCTCCGAAAGCTATTGAATGTTCACTGGTCGGACTTTAGGTCCAATACATCTATAAGACAGGAAACGAAACAAAAATATGTGTCTGATTTTATTAGAATGCGTCGCTGGAATTACATCGGTCACGTACTCAGAATGGACATACAGAGACTTCCCCACCAAGCCTTCATATGGTCACCAGAGGGTAAAAGAAAACAGGGAAGACCAAAAGAAACTCTCCGTAGAACCATCACAAGGGAGAGCTCAACCATAGGTCTCAGTCGCACTCAAGACCTACATCAAGTGGCAACGAACCGACAGACGTGGAAAGCTATGACCTCTGCCCTATGCGCCATCTTTGGCATGAGGAATAACTAACTAACTAACTAACTTCGCTCCTAGGACGATCCAATCTAAAATAGATACCAGGACTACCAGGTAAAGACCTGGGGGGGGGGGAGGGGAAAGGAGGCAGCCGGTACGATGCTAATCGTATCACCCACCGTGCCGATTGGGCTATAAAATGCAAGTCTATTACGTGATGCCTAATACGCCTAAAGGCGTGGCAAAAGTCACTTACTTACACACTTAAAATTAGCAGAGATCGCGGGACACAGGCGTGGAAAAGTGTGGTGCAAGTGCAAAAGTGTGGTGCAAGTGGAAAAGTGTGGTGCAAGTGGAAAAGTGTGGTGCAAGTGGAAAAGTGTGGTGCAAGTGGAAAAGTGTGGTGCAAGTGGAAAAGTGTGGTGCAAGTGGAAAAGTGTGCAAGTGGAAAAGTGTGGTGCAAGTGGACAAGTATGCAAGTGGAAAAGTGTGGTGCAAGTGGAAAAGTGTGGTGTAAGTGGAAAAGTGTGATGCTAATAAAATCTTTGAAATAATAAAAAAGAAGAAGAAGAAGAAGAAGAAGAAGAAGAAGAAGAAGAAGAAGAAGAAGAAGAAGAAGAAGAAGAAGAAGAAGAAGAAGAAGAAGAAGAAGAAGAAGAAGAAGAAGAAGAAAGACATTTTACCATAATCTACAGCTCAATTAATTCCACCAAGAGAGTGGAGAGCTTCTACTGATAACTTACATATGACAGCAGGTTGTTGTCCTTGTGAGACAGCTGCGACTGGAAGGAGAACATCCACTTCCTCTGCTGCGGGTACATCTGGAACGTCTGGTACATATAGTCGAGCACCACTGAATGCCGAGGTCTCGAACCCTGACAGTGTCTGGGGAAATCCCCGTAGTGAGGCTCCGCAGCCACACAGAAGTAGCGGAAATAGTGGTCGGTCGGTTGGTTGTTGAAACCTGGAGTAGAGTTGAGTTGTCATTATTACCATCATCATCGTCACTATTATTTTAAGCATCATTATCTTTGCCATTATCACCAGCGGTATTGTTATTATTGTCAGCGTCTTCAGTATTATCTACTAATGGCATCCTCCACTGAGCCAAGACTGTGTATCTGGTGTACTACTGACATCATCCACTGGGCCAAGACTGTGTATCTGGTGTACTACTGACATCATCCACTGAGACAAGACTGTGTATCTGGTGTACTACTGACATCCTCCACTGAGACAAGACTGTGTATCTGGTGTACTACTGACATCATCCACTGAGCCAAGACTGTGTATCTGGTGTACTACTGGCATCATCCACTGAGCCAAGACTGTGTATCTGGTGTACTACTGACATCATCCACTGAGCCAAGACTGTGTATCTGGTGTACTACTGACATCCTCCACTGAGCCAAGACTGTGTATCTGGTGTACTACTAGTATCATCCACTGAGCCAAGACTGTGTATCTGATGTACTACTGACATCATCCACTGAGCCAATACCTACCCCTATAGAAGGCCTTGATATAACTAACAAGCGGCCACAACAAGTGTCTGAGACTGAACAGCAGAAAAATAACAAAGTCTTGCAAGGAGCATACATACATTTTTAAAAAAAACAATCTGCTTATTAGAGACAAATCCAGCAATGACACAAGTGACTCCGCAATGTCTTCTTACCTAGAAGTTTACATATATTCCACAATCTAAAGGAAGTCACCAGTAAAATTTGCCGTTTTATCAGTGCCCACTCCACGCAGACTTTTGTCTATCTATGCTGGAGGGATAAATGGCTTTGTTGGAAAGTGAGAAAAGTTACCTTCTGCAGTTCTATCAGTATGACAGGCATTCAGCATTTGTCCAGGTATTAAGTTACAGATTTATTGGCAATTTATGTTGAAATCTGCTGTGTATCAGAGATTGATGAGCAATTTAAAAAAAAATCTGTTAGCATTGAATGTTAGAGATTTATTTGCAATTTATATTAAAATGTGTTGGCGGTTTTTGCTGGGGATTTACTGGCAGTTTCTATTGAAATCTGTTGGCAGTTTACATTAGAGATTTAGAGGCAATTTATGTTAAAATCAGTTGGCAGTGTATGTCATTAGGCTCTGAGGAGAATGGCACTAGGAAGAGTTACAAGGGGATCTGGCCTACGCTCCACAGGGGAAAGGTGAGACGGATATATAATCAGACGGTTACTGGTACCATCGGAATTTTAACTTTTTACTTGTTGCTGAAAGGGAGGGGGGGGGGGCGCTTATGGGGATGTCCCGAGTGCTGTGATGACGATTCTCAATTCAACATTCAACATTCATTCAACATTTCGCAGTGTTTGTAAGAAAGAATGTTATGTTTCTTGAATAAATATTGTAGGTGCTCCTTTGAAAAGAAATTAGCAGTTCCTTTTAAAACTTTATTAATATTTCCTCTTAGAGATTGGTAAACAGTTCCTCCTAGAAACAAGTCAATAGTTCCTAATGCATTTTATAAATGTTTTTGTAGTTCCTCTTTGAAATATGTAAATATCTTCTCTAAGATATTGGTTAACATGCTTTTTAGTGACATTGTGAAACTAAGAGACACAAAGTTATTGAAGTGTAGTATTGTCCTTCCTCTTACAATTGAGGTGCTGTTCCATTAAAACACAATAGACTGAAGATAAATACAAACTGAATCACACAAAGAACTTTATTAAATCTACTCCCTGAAAACACCACATATAAGTGAGTCAACAGTGAAGGTGAAACCACTTATTAATATTGCTCAGTGACAAGAGAAATAAGACTAAACACACACTGAAACATGTGTCAGCCATTTTTCATCGGCCTGCACCAGTGACGTGACCAGAATTTGTTGCCAGGCCTTCCTTAAGCAGGCCATGGCTGGGCCATGGTGGAGATAAATAAGTGGAGATAGAGAGGCAAAGACTGGCCCTCGGCTCACGAATCCAGCAGTCTGTACTGAGAGGTTAGTAGATGTGAGCGGTTAAACCACCTGACCATGGTCAAGATAAACAAGCGAAGACAGAGAAGCGGACGACAGGTCCTGGGAGCACACTTACCTAGCAGTCCGTACTGGGAGGTTCTTAGTCGGGCGTGGCTGAACCATTTGACCACGGTTGAGACAGAAAAGCAAAGACTGGTCCTCGAAGCACACTTACTTAGAAGTCTGTTTTAGGAGGTGCCTAGATGGACGTGGCTTAACATTCGTGGAGAGAAATACAAACTGAATCACACAGAGAGGTATTAAATCTGCTCCCTGAAAACACCACATACCCAGCAGTCAACATTGAAGGTGCCTAGATGGACGTGGCTTATTAATATTGCTCAGTGACAAGAGAGAGAGAAGAGAGAGAGAGAGAGAGAACATGTGTCAGCCATTTTCATCGGGCCTCTGCCTTCCAGCACACTTGACCTGCAGAATTTGTATGCCAGGCCTTCCTTAGCATGGGCCATGGCTTAACATTTGTGGTGGGGATAAATAAGTGGAGAGAGAGGAGAGGCAGAGAGACTGGGCATCTGCCTTTCAAGCGAATTACCAGCAGTCTGTATTGAGAGGTTAGTAGATGTGAGCGGTTTAACCACCTGACCATGGTCAAGGGGGAGAGACAGAGAGAGAGACAGAGAAGTGGCGACAGGTCCTGGGATCTGCAAGCACACTGACCTATCAGTCTGTATTGGAAGGTTCCTAGATATGGGCGTGGCTGAACCATTTGACCAGAGAGAGAGAGAGAGAGAGAGAGGAGAGAAGCAAAGACTGGTCCTCGCCTTCCAAGCACACTTACCCTGCAGTCTGTATTGGAAGGTTCCTAGATGGGCGTGGCTTAACATTTGTGGGGGGGGGAGGGGGGAGAGAGGCAGAGAGAGAGAGAGAGAGAGAGAGAGAGAGAGAGAGGAGAGAGAGCAGTCTGTATTGAAAGGTTCCTAGATGGGCGTGGTTTAACATTTGTGGGGGGTGGGGGGTGGGGGGAGAGAGAGAGAGAGAGAAGTGGGCATCTGCCTTCCAAGCACACTTACCCAGCAGTCTGTATTGGAAGGTTCCTAGCTGGGCGTGGTTTAACATTTGTGGAGAGAGGGAGAGAGAGAGAGAGAGAGAGAGAGAGAGAGAGAGAGGGGAGAGAGAGAGAGAGAGAGTGGGCATCTGCTTTCAGAGCACACTTACCCAGCAGTCTGTATTGGAAGGTTCCTAGCTCAGCATCGTCCTCGGCCCAGGTTGTGGCGTATCCCGCAGCCTTGAGGGATTCCAGAGAGGGAGTCGTCCAGATATCCCCGAGAGTGAGTGCAGAGGCGGAGAGAGCAAGATTGGCATGATGGCGGCCGGGGTGCCGTCTCCGAGAAGTTGTAGAGAGAGAGAGAGGAGGCGGGCACAGAAACGTGCTTTCAACAAGAGCACATATTACCCAGCAGTCATGTTTCAACAAGTCACCTTATATCTATCTCACACAGAAACGTCATTATTTCAACAAGTCACCTTATATCTACCTCACACAGAAACGTCATTATTTCAACAAGGGGGGGACACAGAAACGTCATTATTTCAGGGAGAGAGAGACAGAAACGTCATTATTTCAACAAGTCACCTTATATCTATCTCACACAGAAACGTCATTATTTCAACAAGTCATCTTAGGGGATCTCACATAGAGACGTCATTAGAGGAGAACAAGTCACCTTAGATCTATCTCAGAAAGAGATTATTTCAACAAGGAGTTATATCATCTGCACAGAAAGCACACTTACCCAGCAGTCTGTATTGGAAGGTTCCTAGATCATGGCGTGGTCAAACATTATGTGGAGAGAGGGAGAGAGAGGATTATTTCACCAAGAGAGAGAGATCTTCCTCACAGAGAGAGAGAGTCAGAGAAGTGGGCATCTGCTTTCTTAGCACACTTACCACAGCAGTCTGTATTTCACCAAGTCACCCTAGATCTACGTCACACAGAACATTTTTTGGTCACCTCGTAGATCTCACACAGAGACGTCACTATTTCACCAAGTCAGAGAGAGAGACAGAAACGAGATTTCACCAAGTCACCTCGTAGAGAGAGAGAGAGAAACGTCATTATTTCACCCAAGTCGCTGCTTTATCTAAGCACAGAAACGTCATTATTTCACCAGTCACCTGTATCTACCTCACATAGAAACGTCATTATTTCACCAAGTCACCACGTATCTACCTCACACAGAAACGTCATTATTTCACCAAGCCACCTCGTATCTTCCTCACACAGAAACGTCACTATTTCACCAAGCCACCTCTTATCTTCCTCACACAGAAACGTCATTATTTCACCAAGTCACCTCGTATCTACCTCACACAGAAACGTCATTATTTCACCAAGTCACCTCGTATCTCCCTCACACAGAAACGTCATTATTTCACCAAGCCACCTCGTATCTTCCTCACACAGAAACGTCACTATTTCACAAAGCCACCTCGTATCTCCCTCTCACAGAAACGTCATTTTTTTCACCGTCACCTCGTATCTACCTCACATAGAAACGTCATTATTTCACCAAGTCACCTCGTATCTACCTCACATAGAAACGTCATTATTTCACCGAGCCACCTCGTATCTCCCTCACACAGAAACGTCATTATTTCACCGAGCCACCTCGTATCTACTCACACAGAAACGTCATTATTTGTAGCCACCTCGTATCGAGAAACGTCATTATTTCAACAAGCAGAAACGTCATTATTTCACCGAGCCACCTCGTATCTACCTCACACAGAAACGTCATTATTTCACCAAGTCACCTCGTATCTACCTCACACAGAAACGTCATTATTTCACCGAGCCACCTCGTATCTACCTCACACAGAAACGTCATTATTTCACCAAGTCACCTTATATCTACCTCACACAGAAACGTCATTATTTCACCAAGTCACCTGGCATCTACCTCACACAGAAACGTCATTATTTCAACAAGTCACCTTATATCTACCTCACACAGAAACGTCATTATTTCACCGAGCCACCTCGTATCTACCTCACACAGAAACGTCATTATTTCACCGAGCCACCTCGTATCTACCTCACACAGAAACGTCATTATTTCACCGAGCCACCTCGTATCTTCCTCACACAGAAACGTCATTATTTCACCGAGCCACCTCGTATCTTCCTCACACAGAAACGTCATTATTTCACCAAGTCACCTCGTATCTACCTCACACAGAAACGTCATTATTTCACCAAGTCACCTCGTATCTACCTCACACAGAAACGTCATTATTTCACCGAGCCACCTCGTATCTACCTCACACAGAAACGTCATTATTTCACCGAGCCACCTCGTATCTACCTCACACAGAAACGTCATTATTTCACCAAGTCACCTCGTATCTACCTCACACAGAAACGTCATTATTTCACCAAGCCACCTCGTATCTACCTCACACAGAAACGTCATTATTTCACCAAGCCACCTCGTATCTTCCTCACACAGAAACGTCATTATTTCACCAAGCCACCTCGTATCTTCCTCACACAGAAACGTCATTATTTCACCAAGTCACCTATAAGGGGATAATTATTGTAAATTCGATTAACGAACCTCAAACTCTTTTCAAATCCATGCCGGCAGTGCGCACTCTGTGTGACTGTGAGTTGGTGAGTTAGGTGTGATTACAGCATTCATTCTTTACTTTTCCTAATTTATATTATGGGAGGGGGGAAAAGGGGGGGGGGGGGGTCATTTATACTTAGTGAACTGTAATGTCGCCCCAGTATCTATCTCGTGCACATTCAATCAGTTGTAACAATGATGATCTTCAATGTCATGATGATATCCACACTGCCTGGCATTTTCCCTCATGGTCTTTCTCTGCCTCTGTTCCCCTCCATCTTTCCCATCGTCATGATAGACTCCAGTATATATCCAGGGTGTTCTCATTATTTGTCAATAAAATTCGCTCCCATACAAGTGCTCACCAATCCTTCAACCGTCAATTCTTACGTATATCATTACCGGATTCAACACAGATGCAGTCTGGCCTGTTCCAGCCACAGTGAAGACAAAACTGTATGGTACACGAGAAGATATGGAATGCTTTCATAAGGTCTACCGGCCTACTGATATAAGTTTTCTGACAGAACGATCAAAGAGGACGTATAGGTTTTATATAGCTCCCGAGAATTCTCTTTCTTACCTCCATCGACATGATATGTAACTATTATTTAGAAAGATAGAAGGTGTCAACGAAGAGTCAAAGGCCTGTGAACTTTCCAGGTTACGGATGTGATATTTTACAATGAGGTTAACTGATTGTAAGCTAGGATGTACAAGAGATAGGCTAAAGGTGTTACAGGTTAGGTCATAACTCAGAGTAGCTGCAAAGAACACCCTCTGTGTGAGGCTTACGCTGCACGGTAAGGGTCAGAGGCGGAAAGGGGTGGAAATCGTGGATGGCTTAAGCAGGAAGACACAATAAGGCAAGTATGCAAGCCGGAGAACATTGGGCGAGGAGAGGAGTGGGTTTGAGTACCAGAAGAAAAGTCTGACCTGTGTAGGGTTATGATCACTTTGGGCCGGGAGTGCAGACTTACTGACTGACTACCCCACCAGGACATCACACAAGCGATAAACACCCGATGACACAAAGTGCTACCATGCGGCTGAGGATCACCGTGGAGAGGTCTCAGAAACCGCGTTCAGCCTTTAGGCCATATTTTTGGCCAGGGTATATTGCAGCCCCTGGCAAAAGCCAGAGTAGGGCTTCAAATAACGAAAAATTTCATCCTAAAAAGGATGGAAGGCGTATAATAATACGGGAGTGCAGAGAGTCGTCAGCGGGTGCTACGGAGGTGGAAGTCCAATAGTTGATTCTCGACAATTCACGCCCAGATGATCTGATTATCTATACAGATGGCTCGGTGTTGAGAGAAAAGAGAAGTCCCTATGCGGTTCGTAGCGAAAGTCAATGGACAATCTTTAGTGCCAGACAGCCTAGCATACGACACCGCAAAATCTAGCATGCGAGAGGGAGTGGAGGCGGTAACTGTAGCTCTCCGGTGACTAAAGAACAAGATGAATAAACGTGCCGTAATTGTAACAGACTCTGAAAGCCTGCTGAAAAAGGTGAAGACAGGGATACTTCGAGCAGAGTGGCAAGATTAACTGGGAAGGTCACGGTAGAGATCTTTTCTCCAGGCTATGCCGGTGGGGTGGGTAATGTACAGGTAGATAGATTGGCGGAAACTGCACCACTGGGTGGTGAACTGATACATGACAAGGCAGATGTGGTCATAGCCCTTTGGGAACAAGCAACGGAATCAGTAGAGAAACAAGATTATTATGGTCTGTAGAGAATGAGGCACCTGGGTGTAACCAGGGGGTCTGGCCGGCTCACTACACTCAGAGGAAAGGCAAGACGGACATATAACCAGATTGTGATCCGTACCATCAGTATTGGAACTCTGCGCTGGCTGCTGAAGATGAGGGCTGAACAGGCATGGGAATACCCCGAGTGCTGTTCTGCTGAGAGAGATTGAGCTACACGGGATTTTAAAAAAAAGGAAGTAGTGGTGCTCTATACTGATACCAAAAACAAAACAAAAAATAGAACAAACCTCCATCTCTGTACCATTGAGAACATTGACGAAGTAGTCCCTGGACTTGGGCAAATGTCGCTGCCAGGCCAAGTGTGACGTGGAGTCGAGACCCAGTATGACCACATCCAGATTCAGACTCTCCGGCGTGAGCACCTGAGGCCTTTTGTGGACCTCACTGTCGTTTCGGATCCCAGCCAGATAGTTCCTGTGGAAGAGCATCAGGTATCAGTGAAGTTTGACTTCCATGAACTTTTTTAACAAAGGCGATGTCTACTTCTTGTTTCTTCTCTTTTTCTGTATCTTCCAGTGTGACTTAAATAGTGCCACATCCTTTTACTGCATGCTGCAAACCAGCTCAAGCATTTGTCGGCTGTTAAAGTTTTACCAGGCAATTTTACACTCAGTAGTTCGCCATGGTAGAGCGAAATCACTATTCTGGAGCTTTCCTTTGGGAAAGAACAAAACAAATTCCAGTGAATCAAAAATGTGAAGAAAACACGCCAGCATTGGACTGGACACATGCTAAGAAAAACTGAGAATGATAAACTAGAATGTCTATAGACAGTAACCCCACATCGGCATAGCGATACAGTCGACCAAAAGACACAAGGAGAAGGGAGCTGGAGTGAAGTTAAATTATGTGGAGGGTATAGGTCAGCTGCATGCGATAGCAAAGGACAGAACGAAAAGACGTGAGCTGGTTGATGGCCTAGGTTCTACTAAGGGATAGAGGAAAGAAGAAGACATAAAGCGAAGAAGATGTTTGCCATTGCTGTTTGAGTGGTAGGACGTGTGTACAATTGTCGAAAACAGTGCAAAGCTTTCTAATGCCAAACGCATACGAATGAATCGAACTCGAATGTCAGAATTATGAACTTGCGTTCAACGCCAGCTCATCTCAAGCCACATATGCAGGCAGTATGTCCAAGGGATGGTGTCTGCGTGATTTTCCTCTTTAACTACCAACAACTGTAAACGCCGCCGGTTGTTCGTCCTAACTATCAACAACTGTAAACTCCGAAGGTTGTTCGTCCTAACTATCAACAACTGTAAACTCCGCCGGTTGTTCGTCCTAACTATCAACAACTGTAAACTCCGCCGGCTGTTCGTCCTAACTATCAACAACTGTAAACTCCGCCGGTTGTTCGTCCTAACTATCAACAACTGTAAACTCCGCCGGCTGTTCGTCCTAACTATCAACAACTGTAAACTCCGAAGGTTGTTCGTCCTAACTATCAACAACTGTAAACTCCGCCGGTTGTTCGTCCTAACTATCAACAACTGTAAACTCCGCCGGCTGTTCGTCCTAACTATCAAAAACTGTAAACTCCGCCGGCTGTTCGTCCTAACTATCAACAACTGTAAACTCCGCCGGCTGTTCGTCCTAACTATCAACAACTGTAAACTCCGCCGGCTTTCGTCCTAACTATCAACAACTGTAAACTCCGCCGGTTGTTCGTCCTAACTATCAACAACTGTAAACTCCGCCGGTTGTTCGTCCATTTCTAGGATTTGATCTCGTCCAGAACAGAGTTTTGCGTGCACATCTGTTTTACAAATCTGGCTTTGCAGACCCTTGGTTCATAGCCTCACAGGCAGATGCACTCCGACTTCGAAGAAAACTTCCCTAATTTTTCGCCCTGTACGACATGCTTGTTAGCTTTACATTGTGTTATAGGCAAGCGTGCTATGTACAGTCCTGTTCAAGTAAGTATATTAGGTTATTATGGAACCATTCTGCTGTAGGCTCAAACTACTGGCATATCATAGAACCATTCTGCTATAGGATCAAACTACTGGCATATCATGGAACCATTCTGCTGTAGGATCAAACCACTGGCATATCATGGAACCATTCTGCTGTAGGATCAAACTACTGGCATATCATGGAACCATTCTGCTGTAGGATCAAACCACTGGCACATCATGGAACCATTCTGCTGTAGGATCAAACCACTGGCATATTATGGAACCATTCTGCTGTAGGATCAAACTACTGGCATATCATGGAACCATTCAGCTGTAGGATCAAACCACTGGCATATCATGGAACCATTCAGCTGTAGGATCAAACCACTGGCATATCATGGAACCATTCAGCTGAAGGATCAAACCACTGGCATATTATGGAACCATTCAGCTGTAGGATCAAACCACTGGCATATCATGGAACCATTCTGCTGTAGGATCAAACTACTGGCATATCATGGAACCATTCTACTGTAGGATCAAACTACTGGCATATCATGGAACCATTCAGCTGTAGGATCAAACTACTGGCATATCATGGAACCATTCAGCTGTAGGATCAAACCACTGGCATATCATGGAACCAGTGCTCTAGCTCAAGGCTGGGACACCACGGGCCACATTTAGAAGTACCAGCCTGGCCGAGGCCATATAGAAAAACAATTTATTATAAACATAACACTCAAATTTCCTCTTAACACAAACTTTTGTGGGCACTCAGATGTCCTTTTAACATGAATTTTGTGGGGAATACTCTAAGATTTGAATCCTTCGATAAGGCTCTGATGAGACACACTCACCCAATGAAGCCGTTCTACGTATTCCTAAATATGGCTGTTCAGGCTGGGTTTTTTTTTTTTTTTTTTTAGAGAAATCATAGTATTTAGGAAAGGTCAGATTGTATAGCATATTCACACCAGCCTCGCGGCCCAGTAAAAATGACAAGAGGGGCCAGTAATGGCAACGCGGGCCAGAGATGTTCACCCCTGCCCTAGCAAGAGAAATAAATTGACAAGTGTTGTAGAGACAAGACCGCGACACGACACATCCTCGAGACACAACGAGATAACGCGGAAATACTGCGCTCATACTTCTACACATCCATGAGCCGCCGTGGTGCAGCGAATAGAAGCTCTCTTTCGGACTCGAAGGTATGGGTTCTAATCCGCATCGAACCAGATTTTCTTTCTTTAAAATGACCTCGGCTCTCAGTTAGACTCAGCCTAAAATGGATACCAGGTAAAGTCATAGGAAGTAACGGCGACCAGCATCGTGCTAATCATATGTCAAGCGAGTGCTGATTGGTCCATTAAACACGTCTATTACTATATACCTTATTCTATTACTATATACCTGATTCTATTACTATATACCTGATTCTATTACTATATACCTGATTCTATTACTATATACCTGATTCTATTACTGTATACCTGATTCTATTACTATATCACCTGATTCTATTACTATAAGACCTGATTCTTGATTACTATATACCATTCTATTACTATATACCTGATTCTATTACTATATACCTGATTCTATTACTGTATACCTGATTCTATTACTATATACCTGATTCTATTACTGTATACCTGATTCTATTACTATATACCTGATTCTATTACTGTATACCTGATTCTATTACTATATACCTGATTCTATTACTGTATACCTGATTCTATTACTATATACCTGATTCTATTACTATATACCTGATTCTATTACTATATACCTGATTCTATTACTGTATACCTGATTCTATTACTGTATACCTGATTCTATTACTGTATACCTGATTCTATTACTGTATACCTGATTCTATTACTGTATACCTGATTCTATTACTGTATACCTGATTCTATTACTGTATACCTGATTCTATTACTATATACCTGATTCTATTACTATATACCTGATTCTATTACTATATACCTGATTCTATTAATATATACCTGATTCTATTACTGTATACCTGATTCTATTACTATATACCTGATTCTATTACTATATACCTGATTCTATTACTATATACCTGATTCTATTACTGTATACCTGATTCTATTACTATATACCTGATTCTATTACTATATACCTGATTCTATTACTATATACCTGATTCTATTACTATATACCTGATTCTATTACTATATACCTGATTCTATTACTATATACCTGATTCTATTACTATATACCTGATTCTATTACTATATACCCGATTCTATTACTATATACCTGATTCTATTACTATATACCTGATTCTATTACTATAAACCTGATAGGCTTTAGGGCGTGGTATAGGGTCCTTAGATTTAAAAAAAAAATTATTACTGACTCCTACATCTTCTGCTGTAGCTGTGTTGCCCTGGTTTAGATATGTAAACATCACAGATAAGCTTTCAGATATGTGTGCATCTGCTCCCAGTGTGTTGTTTTCGCGTCTTTTTAAATGTTTACACAGTTATAGTCAGTTCCAAAAGTCTGCCGTTCAATATAAATTGTTGAAATTCGGCATGCTGATAATAATGTCCTATTAGAAAAAAAAAGTTTAAATTACATCCAGTTCCCCCCCCCCCCCCCCTTCCCCCTTTCCTATTTGTCATACATGAAACAAAATACAGACACTGATTCAAAGCATATAATGCTTGATGATCGGTTCATTAAAAAGTATGCAGTTTGTGTAAATTACTCTATTTCTTTTAAAGAGATACACAAATTTTAGTCAGAAACAAATCAAAGAAATTCGCTGCTGTAAGAAAGCAGCAGCACCTGTGCATTTATAAATTATGAAATCATAAGGATTTGAGAAATCTAAGACTACATTCAAATATTCATGTTGCTCCGTACAGCAGATTTCAAGATATTTGTTGAAGTTACGGGCACAATTTTTGAAACAGACTAAAGATAAAAAAAAATTTTTTTTTTTTTTTTTTAAAGTCAGGGACGGGAAAGATTAACTAATTGGTTGACCTCCACAGCTAGTTGTTGGACTTGTCCTCAATCTTGACCTGACCTGATTACATTCTAATATTCATCAGTGGGGTTAAGCACTGATTAAACAAACCGGCCACGGTTCACGACCTGACACTATCTCCCCAATAACGTCTTGCTTGCTTGCTTTGCTCGAAAAAAAAAAAAACAACAACAATGGTCACGTGCAAACCACATACCCGACGGGGCAGCTTTAGGTTATAATTGTGACTGGGTAATGTGCGCCACATAAAATGGCTTAGCCTTGCACGCCATTAAGAGCCCTAAAATGGACTTCTGCAGTTTTGATACGATCAGATGCGACATAAACAAATATTCTTTCGACCGGCGACAAAGTCGTCTACCGGCGAGCTAATGGACGACCCGGTTGCCGATGTATGCACAACAATGGGCCAGGTCTGTGTTCTTAAACCACCCAGAGGAGTTAAAAGTGGGGGTGGGGGGGGGGAGGGGAACACCTCGAGCGTTGCTTTTACTAT